TTGTAATCACTAGATGAATAGCTATAATCATTAAACGGATCACTAGAAGTAGTTAGACGAATCGTTATAATCACTAGATGAATAGATATAATCATTAAACGGATCACTAGAAGTAGTTAGACGAATCGTTATAATCACTAGATGAATAGATATAATCATTGAACGATTTATTGCCAACATTTAGCTGTAATCACTTGATACGAACATTTAGCTGTAATCACTAATCGATGTAATCACTTGATGAATAGCTATAATTATGGAACATATTTGTCGTGATGAACAGCGATAATTATGGGAACATATCTGTCGTTAGAATAGTTGTAATCGTTATTAAATCACTACAGTAAGAAATCATGACAGATATGATATCAAAAAATCGTAGTATTGGGCGTTCAGAACTTATGTAAAACTACGAAAGCTAAGGTTTTGCGTGCAGAAATATCTGTGAAATGACAAAATCACGTTCCACATTTGATTTACATAAAATATTACTGCTAACATATATGTGATTCTATTTTATATAGAAGGAATGATAATGCAAAAATATTACCAGAAAGTTATTTTATGACAAGGCAGTATGGTAAGATTCTGCAACAAGGTAGTTAAGGTAACTATGATAAAGTAATGTGATCGTACGCGCTTATCTGATACTACTAGTATATAAGCATGGATAACAAGGTTCCATGATAAGGTGATACAATAACATTTGGTAGTAATATGTCATAAAACAGTATCTTTATAATGTTATCTGTATTGCACCGCAAGTAAGGCTGTACTACCACAGTGTAGTGTAGTGAAATTTTATATTCAGTTTATTAAGCCATATCGTGTATATTAAATCAAGTCAAATCGTAGAAAATCTATAACAGTGAATCATGATTCGTGATTAGTCCCATAAGGAAATGCCATAAGGAAATGCGATAAGTAGCAAATTGTTTATTGCTTATTGCATGAAGTAAATTAAGTTCGGAAAAATGATAAATTTCAGGAATTCAAACTTTTTTGTCTCTCGTTTTCCGTGTGTAAGTGCAACAATGCAAGTCGATGTAAACGGTTCAAGTTTGTCAGAGAAATCACTGAATGGTTCTAAATTAAAAGATACCCATAGTTATGTCGGTTTTGCTAATTTCCCTAACCAAGTATTTCGACGAGCTATCAAAAATGGCTTCGAGTTTACGCTAATGGTTGTTGGTATGTTCATTTTTGTTGATTATATCAGATTTAAAAGAAAAAGGAAAAAAAGATTGTGTATTTTTCGAAGAAACTGAAATTGGTACCATTGATTATTTAGTAGTAATTTTGTTGATCATGGACGTTAAAAATTCACATATCTCTCTTTAACAGACATATTTTCTTTTTTATTTATTTGTAGAAAATTGCAAACGAAAACGAACCTAATTAAACCATTGATTATATTGTTTCCT